CCTGGACTCTCTCGGACTGCGTCTGTCGTGGAGTCTTCGCCAAGACCAACTCAAACTCTCTTTATTCATTTTCAAAACTCTGACCAGTTACAATGCAGTAAAAAGACTTAGGGCGTAACCTTCAATCATAAAGCCAATCACACTAAGTACTGAATACGTCATATCTTTTGATTAATCGTTCACTACATTAATAACTATGAATAAAAAAAAAAAAAAAAAAAAATAACTATGAATATAAACTGTCAGAATGGCGACGATTATCTCGTAATTAGTTCCAAATCACTGAGCCAAGTTCCGTCCAAAACTTCAAATAGGCCTACACGATGACAGACATAACACAGCAATTCGCTAATAATCAGTTAATTAAGTCGGTCAACAGATACGCAAAAACAAATTCATTACACTCCCTCAAATTTCGCCAAAGCCTTACCTACATTTTACCGATATCTGCAGAATAAATCAAGAAAACTACACAAATTGACTCCATTTAGGAATTCCTAACAGTTTGCCCGAGCGCACGGCACAGTTGGAGGCGTGGCCTGTTCAGCATTCAATCACAAAACTGAAACCAAATAAAGAGACAAGTTGAGAAACAGTTTTCTACAAATCAGGGAGAAAACCATTTCCAGTTATTATGATTGTGTGCATGAGAGCTTTTCCCCACACAATAAAACAGAATGGTATGCACGGATATGTGTGAGTATGCAAATAACACCGAATAAACGGCAAGGTAAAGACTATGTCTAATTATAGTAAACACGTACTGCGTGCGTGACTCGAACCGGCGCTCGCATACGGCACCTAATCGCCTAGCTTCACGCCACTACACTTCTTCCCCTCGGCCACAGGGCATCCCCCAAAAAGGATGCTTAATAACCAAGCTTTTTACGTGCAGAGAACATGAAACCCGTCCACGCGATCCGCGCCACACAGCGTGGCCAGAATGAGGCAAAGGCCTTCAGATCTGGCTGTAGTAGGATGGTGAAAGTAATGGTACAGCATTGTAACAGTGAATAAGTACTGAGAAATAATAACTTGGAACACTACGTTTACCTAAAGCCGCCCTCGGCGTTTATCAATCTAATAAAACTCGCAAATCACGGCGTAAATTGCCCGGAGGTAACACTACAATACATTTCCTTTTACATTCCCTTGTTTTACACAACAGTCTTTGTGCTGAGGCAGTGATTGTTCATATTCATCACCAGTTCTCTTGTAGATACATTGCTTTAACCGCGAGACAGATCCCTGGTAATCACGCGACAACGGCTGCACCGATTGGCTGATCGCATGTTCACACTGCCACGCCTTAGAGTTTGATTGGAGAGTTTGTTAGAGAAGGTGACAGCGAGGCGTTACCTCAGCTGACCGTTTGGATGAATAAAGCTGGACTAGATTTAATGAACTTTAGGTCGAACCTGGTACCTGTACATGGGCTGTAAAGGGGTCAAAGTTCCCTGTACACTACAATAATTCGTAACAATTTGTCTTATTTATTGATTTTATGTCAACATTTACGTTGGTAAAAAATATTCATGTGTCTATATTCTCTTCTATTAACAGAAACACTGAAGTCGTAATTGTATTACAAATGCCTCCGTGACATCAAATGAAATCTTCATTGCTTATATCACCAGTTGCATTCCCCAACGTTATAAAACATTGCTGTGTCATTGCTAGGGTTCAAGTATGAGTGGTGGTTTCAAAGTTAAATTGTGAACAGAACTGCATGTAACGATCAAAGTGCACGTATGGTTATCTTTTGTTCTAATCTAACTAATAAGTAACTGAGGTCAGTGTACAATACAATTCAAAAGGTGTGGGTTGGGCATTTCATTTTGTGATGGTATTTTAAACGTTGCAGGAAAGACTGTTAAAACCCTTGCTCAATTATGGCAGTCCCGTTTCAGAAGCTTCCAAATGGAGCAAATATGCCAAGACTCGGTTTTGGAACCTGGTTGGTAAGTTAAAGCGTTAACTCTGTTAACACTGTAGCGTATAGTCTCGATTACTGTGACAAAGTCTACGACGCGGAGCTTTTCATACTACTCATTGTCCATCCTCGTCTGTCGTCTGTAGTATGTAGTTTTTACATTTTTGTCTTCTTTTTCAAAACCGTTAAACTAAATGCTTTCATATTTGCAACATCGGTTCTTGGGGTAGTCTTTTGTCAGATTTGTTCATTTCGTGTTGATATCTTCAATTCTCTAATTTTGATGAATATTTTTGTCATTTTTGGTAAAACGTGATATTTCCAATTTCTTGTTATAAACCGCAAGCCTGATTGCTTTGATACTATACATATTCTTCAATTTCTAATGATATCTTCAGTTTTTAATTTGAAATGTGAATTGCTAACAGCGGAGCTATTTCAGCCGACAAGCTGCTTGCAATATTAATACTTAACTATTTTTAGAGATCATTCATACTTGTCACGTGGTACTGTATTCATTCTTATGACCATTTCATAACTTTGATTTGTCCGTTCCCGACGTCTTCCCGCGACATGCGGCAGTAGGCAGTACATATTCTGAACGCTAATGTCAGCCCAGATAAAATCACATTAATTTCAATATTCGAGTCGAAACACTGTCCCGGCGACGATCCACGCCCTCATCGGCAAAACCCGTTTGTAGACATATGATCTACGTTATCAGCCTTAGCCTCAGTGAGGAAAGCTTTCAATTGCGTTCAGGCGGTGGGATGGGTAAAATTATGCTGGCATTGGGTAAGACATGGAAACAAATAAATAGAAGAAGATTATTTAGCTACATATACCGGTAGTAAAATAGTGCATATTTCCCCTGGGCAAAACCAAATTACGCAACATAGGACCAAACATAAACCCACGTAGAAGCATCGGTCTAATCGCATTGAAGCTTGCCATTGATCTGTGGTAGTTGTAGCGAAATGTAACAAATTGAAGAAAGTATAAAAGTACACAAATAATAACGCAATAAATCGTGATTTATTATTGCTGACATACTGTTATGACATTCGTTGAATGGTCTTATTTATGGTTTTTAAATGTAAATATTTGACTGTGTATAAATGATTGTGGTAAACATTGTCACGGCCTTTTTTACTCAGTATAGTAACTAGGAAGGTATACATGTTAGTTGTCAGAGACAGCTGCGTGGGTGGGCGAGATCGAAAAAGACCGAGCTCGAGCCATCCCATTAGAGCGCGTTCGTTTCATTAATATTAATAAAAAAGAGTTTCAAAATAATAACAAGATATATGTAAAAATATTATAAAAAATAAAGCGTAACTAGTATTTAAATGTCAAATAAACTTTTGCGTTGTGTAAATATAATTGGCATGTCCTATAATTATGCCAGTATCTTTGCTTGAGAGTATATATGGGAATTTTTATATGTTTTTATTTTTGGATGAAAGTAGTGTCATAATTTTTGGGATTGAGTTTTCCCTGTGTGTGGTGTTATATTTTGGGCAATTCAATAGAAAACACCAATTCGTCATTTTTTTGAAACGTTGTATTTTGGGCGGAATGGTGAGGTGAGAATTTACACGTTTCCCATCGAGAAAATCAACAAGAAAAAGTTAGGATGGACATTCTCCTTATACCGCCATACCGTAGATTCCTACGCGGAACAGTTGTCCTTATTTATAAAAGACAAATTTAGATTTGGACAAGTGCCGACAAATTAAAACTGGCACAGTACTAAAACTTTTTAAAGAACCAGATTCCGGGCCAGCTCATGTTCACCGCGCCGGCTTTCAAAAAGAGAGAAACGTCGGACAAGTGTTTCAAATGTTTTGGGATTCTGGATAACGTTTTGAAGAGACCATATAGTGTTATGTAAGAGATAGCAATGACGTTATGACATTGACTAAATTAGACGACCACCGAAGGTGACATAATTCAATGCGTAATGAGAAGAACATAACATCGATATAATCAGGAAATAGTTTTATGTTTATGATGTTCAGACATCGTTCATTCAGATAGCAACATATCAGCAGTACACCCAAGTAGGCTGTTGAAGAATTACTTGTGCGTACTTCAAACAATAAAATACTGATGAAAAGTTGAATATCCAGAGAATGAAAAGTGATATAAAAAAAACTGTAAATTGCATTCTCCTACATTTGTGGAGCTTTTTCTTGAGAGTTCATTATGTTGTTTGTTGATAATTGAGATTTATTACATATATGCTATAGCTCCCATGTCAAATCAAGTAAATACAGTGACGTACAGGGTGGTTTGGGTCATACTGGCCTGTAAGAGAATGAAGAGCGACTTGTCTCTAAAGGAATGAAAAGTTCTCTTGGCTGATTAAATAATTGAAGTGCTCAAACGATACCAAGGCATTGTATTTTATATATTTTATAGCTTTGATGTCAAATACCCCGGGGGTCAAATCAATAAAATACAGAGACGTTAGTACTCGGTCCATGTCTTGACATAATCCGTTTTACTCTGCCCGCTAACAGTGCGAGCGCGTATGGTGTCAGGGAAGATAGAGTGAATTAACAGTGTGTCGATCAAAGCTGTCGCTTTTACAAAAACTGTCTCCGAACGAGCAATTCTTTTCGTAACGGTTAGGAAAGTGACTAAAGCTATCGGCAGTTGCCGTTATATCTGTATCCAGCGATGGTCATTTGATCACACGTCTCGCTGATTTGATAGCATGACATTGCCACCTGGTCGCTGAGACCGCTCTCTAATAGAACGAACGCGCTCTAATGGAATGGCTCGTACTAGGTCTATTCGCGGAGATCTGCTCACCAATCTTGCGGTCCGGGCATGCTCCCCCTTAAACATTTTGAAATATAGACCCCCTGAAACGCTATTTCCTGCATCTTGAGGGGAACATTTTGCTGACACAAAAAGTTTCAGCTTGATTTTGGAGGGGCAACGCCCCAACATTTTTTCCGAGGGGGCGATCGCCCCGCCTGCCTCAGTGCCGCCACCACTTGTTTTACGTTATAGACATTGGATACAAAGTCATTTTAGTGCTTAGCTCGAGCAAAACGTTCGCACACACTTCGTTAGTAGTGCTAAGATCTATACTGAGTCTTAAAAAGCTAAGCTAAGCTAAGCGTTCATATACGTTTTTACATCTTCGCCAGCCAAGGAACGTTTGTTTCGGGTCACCCCTCCAAACTAACCCTTGGCAGATTGAACCACTGCAGTGTGTATTTAATGGGCGCCCTTAACGACAAGGAGGGGAGATGCGACAAAAATAAACAGCCAATCAGCTATCTTGAATCAAAATACAGTAGAGCGGATTTGTTTAACATGCTACCGCAGAACAGATCATACAGTTTTTCAAGATAAAAAGCCTCACCGATCACCAAAACCATGCAATTGAAGCATTACTAGCTGAAAAAAAGATGATTTTTTGCAACGAAGACAGGGAGTGGCAAATCAGGAAAATTGTTCAACAGATCAACTCTTGAATGATCAGTCGAGTAGAGTTTCTGAGATTTGAGTTGACAGTTTCATTACTTTGTTAAAACATAAACACACTCTACACGCTCGGTTACCAGAAGTAACCGTGCTACACGTCGCCATTTCCGACATCCCGCACGGGTTGATGAAGTCGGCACCAACAAACTGTGCGATTGGGACGATGAGGTTTTCATTGCACAGGCTAACGTTATTGACCGTTTTTGTTCGCGAACGCAACTAAGAAGAAAAATACACATTTCTGTTAGGGTGATTTAACTCCCTCATTGTGTTTAAGACGTCGATAGATGACGCAACACAAGAAAGGTTTAGTAAGTCAATGGGACGAAACCAGTAGGATACTAGAACTATCCGTATTTGCGATGAACTAGTTGTTCTGCCACCGCACGAGTTTGTGAGAAATAAATGTGTTCACTATATATCCGACTTTTTGATAAACACGTAACCTAGCTGTATATTGTCACACTTGCTCTATTTCAGTCTAAACCAGGCGAAGTCACCGACGCCGTTAAGAAGGCTATTGACATTGGTTATCGCCATATTGATACTGCGCGTGCTTATCAAAACGAGAAAGAAGTGGGCGTGGCACTGAATGCAAAGCTTACCGACGGCACTGTGAAAAGAGAAGATTTATTTGTAGTCACGAAGGTATAGCATACACATAATTTCACCTTTCATGTAATTCGAAATTTTTATGACGTAAAAGGGTGACACGAAGGCCAATCAAGGCGACGTTCATCAATGAATCTTATAAAATTAATCGATAAATTTTTCCAAACAATTGACAACGAAGCTAGTTTTAGTTGCTAGTAAGAACGTAAATGTCTCAAGAGTTGAAAACTTACAATGTTGTCATCATAAATTGCTAATTCGGCTTCACATTTAGTACGAACTTGAACAACTTTATTATTTGTGAGTGAAACATGAAAGTCATCACCAATAGCCTTTGCTTTGTTTTATTATATTTAAGTTTTTCAATTGGCAATCAATGAGAAGAAATGCAAACTTAGTGAAGCTGACGTGTTAATTTGTTCTGAATATCATATTCCAAAATTAGTTCAAACTTATTTAATTAGTTAGAACCAGACTTTATTATAGTAAATTAGTTTGAATTTTGTTTTGAACTCTATAGTGTTAGATTCATCACTAATTTTAGTTAATGTGAATAATCAAAAGCTGTACCAGAATTACCATTCATTTTATTGCCAGTAATGAAATCACAGTGCAGAAGCTAATTATTCTTAATTGAGTTTAGCGTTTGATATTACTTTAATATTTGTGAGCTAATATCAATAATGAGAAGATATCTACCAAGTTCAGCTCTAGTCACTGCTTTTGGATAACATTTTAGATAAAATTGTCTTCAGTTATTGAGTAAAGTTTGAAAGTAAAACCACCCTATATATCATATATAAAAAATGAAATGATTAGGATTGTAATTGTGTATCGCTAAGTGTTTGTTTTAATGCACCTATTGTACGCATTGTTTTCTTGACTAGATTATCGATGGCAATTGTAAAAGTACCAATACTTTGAAAAGTAGAAACAACTTCAACCTGCTGGTTTCCCAGATAACATTTGCCATCTATCTATCTTCCCATGTTATTATAAATAATTTTAATTTTGTTATTAAATCCAAATCTCCACTTGTTACAGTTGCTTTCAAACAATCATGTAGCCGTACCTGCGTTTGTCAATATCATCTGCAAAAAGTAGACAATAATATTGGTGCCATTAAGACTGACAAGCTCTGATTTCTTTAAATTATCAGATAAGCCATTGAAGTAGACGTTACATGCCAAATACCATCATATGCTTTACGTATGCTAACAAAGCAGACATAAGATAATTCTTTCCAATGCTATTAGTATAGTTATTGCTAATTGACTTGAAGGATGAAAATGTTATCTGTTATCTATGAACATTTTAAATCATATTGTGAATAATGCTGTTGAGATTTTTAGATGTACAATTAGATGGGGATACCCCCCTGTAATTAATATCAGAAATGTTTCCAGATGTGTGAACAGAAACTATATAACTTGTACGCTATTCTGCTGGAAAACATCAATTTGATAACATCTGATTGAATAATTTATTAATACAAGCTAATAATGTTTATAAGGAGTTGAACATTTCATTGATAATAGAATCAGGTCCTGCAGATTTACCAACTTAAGTTTTTTGATAGCTGTAATGATTTCGTTTTCAGTTAAATTGTTTATCAAGTTGTGGATTACAGTTTTCTACATTATCAGGTTTTGGTCAAATAGAAATTTGTCAAGTTGTTTAGGCTTTCACGTGCTTGATCTAAATCACAGCAAAACTTCTATTTTTGATCTTTACCATTGCTTTTCCTAGCTTTAATTTTAAAAAAAATCACATTGAATGGTGGGATAGCTTCATTATCCTGATTATAAATTAAGGCTTTCATTTTTAGTTGACTCTTCAGGGTTAAGCTGTGTAATGAAATTAACTTTATAAATATGTATATAAATATATTTTTTGTATGGATTCAATGTAATGTCAGTTTTGATTGCTAATATAGTGAACAATGGTCAAAGTGTATTAACTTTCAAATAATTAATCTGTTTGAGAAGTGATTTTTTTACCACACAATAATCCACTTGACTTGCCCTATGTGACTTTTCCTGACAAGACTCCCACGAGACTAATCATGTCAGTAGTAATACAAAAAATGCACAGGTGATGTCCACACGTATTGTTAACAACACCTGGCTGAATTTTCAGAATTGAAGGCTCAAAGAGTATATGCATATAATTACCAGGGAAATATTGTTTTGGAAACTTCAAAGGAAATAGCACAGGCTGGCATCTCCGAGTTGCAAGTGCTATCTAGCTACTGTTGATGTTCTGGGCAATGCTGTACATATGAATATTAGTTGTGTTTTGTTGTGTTAAACAGCTGTGGAATGTAGACCATCATCCAGAAGACGTCAAGGACGCCCTTTTGACTTCGCTCAAAGATTTACAACTGCAATATTTAGATTTGTATTTAATTCACTGGCCAATGGCATATGTAGTAAGTACAATTATATAATTTATTTCTCAAATAAATAGCTCGCGCCAATGTAGAAGTGAATATAACATAACAGCAGATGCACGGCATAGCGTAATATTTTTTTGTTTTTATATACTTTTTATTAGGCGCTTCATTGATACATTACATTGTTATGAAATTACATTGGATTGTTCCTGTAGTCTATTATTCATATATAGTAATACTTCTTTTTTTATGATACATATGGTAACAAAGGAGACCACGTTTTTAGATGTGAAACCATCTCACGTCATCTGTTATGAAGATGTCCTTTCCTTCGAACTTGTTGTTCTTAAGTGTGCCTGGAGCTGCAAATAATATTGATCTTGATACACTTGCGTCAACAAATGTTACTGTTATGCGTCTTACCAGACCGCAACGGAAACGAAGGCACTCTATGAGCTCTTTGAATGGCCACGTGGTTTTCGACACCTCTGACCTTCATATGATTCAAGACGAATTTCTTTATAAATTCTGAACACGATTTCTCGTGTTTTTCTGCTCCTTCTGGGAAGTTATGGAAGTTTAAGTTCATTCGTCTCGATCTGTTTTCCAAATCGTCATTCTTGTTTTCTGAATCACTCAGTCTGGTTTCCATTTCCCGGACTTTTAATTTCAATTTGTCCACCATCTTGTCACGTGTCTCCCCGCTGCGGTCTCTTTTTTCGATATCCTCTACCCGTTCGTAAATACATGTATGATTTAATGATTCTTCTAATTCCGAGACTTTGTGTTTTGTCTCCTCAATCTGCCGATTCATAGGTTCAATCTTGTCTACTGCCTCCCTTATCGAGAAAAGCAATCTCAACATCATTTCCGACCGATCCTTACTGGATAACTTCATTGCATTTTGGAGGTCGCCATCTTGTATTATTTGATTCTGGCCTTTCGCACTTTCACTGGATGCCGATAGCATTTCGTCCACTTTCCTGTCCTGTTTCGCGGCTCCTTTTGCTCCATCTGCTTTCATGCCAACCGTCGGTGACATATTACTTCCGTATTTTCCTCTCGGCGGGTTAAATTTCTTCTGTTTTTTTGAGCCGTCCGGTTCCGATGTTACTTCAGTTGACGCATGCGCAGAACCAAGAATACGAGTCTTTGTCAATAAGTGCATTAAACTTGGTAACATTTTGATTGTTGTGAGGTGCAGACAAGTCAACTATTAGTCTCTTTTTCCCTGAATATTTGCCTATTGCTATGCCCAGTGGGCTAATACGATACACAGGAAAAGGTGAGGTAGAAAAGGGATCTATGACATAACCCCGACCTAATCCTACTTGTATAAGCTTACTAACAATATCAGGATTCTGTCTGGCTGACAAATTGTTATTACACTCGTAAGAAATGCTAGGGACAGTGTCTATGCCTGTAAAGAAACCTTCCCTAAGCCCAGTACACAACTGGAAAATAAATGACTTGTCCGGATGATAGCTAAATCCAGTTCTAAAATGTTAACATTAATGGGTGTACTTGCACTCTCTGGTAGTCACTGAGTTGGTTTTGCAAGAGGAGCACACACGAAGGAAAGGACAGGAAACCCGGGTACATCCCTTCTCTGCATTAAAGTTATGGCATATCTCTTTTCCATTCACAAATAGCTGTGGCCTCCCTCTCACATCATTGGTGCCTGCTGACATACTGCTACCTTGTTGGGATGGGCTGAACTGTTTATGTGGACAGAAATCGGAAAAATGTAGTGTACTATTGCAGATAGTACACGATATGGCTTTGCGATCTGCAGTAATGCGAATAAAAATGTCATTATCTCTGACAGACCAATCAACTTTAATATTTCTATACTGAAGGTAAGAAGCTGCTTTGGTAGCAAATTGAATGTGGTAGTCATAAAACAGCCCACCACCAAAACTATTGGATATATCAATTATGTCTGTCTCATACAAGTCCAACTTCTCTCGTCTACCTGGATAAACTTCACAGATGATGGATTTGTATTTCCCAAAGGCAATTAAAAATTCACTCAGAGTCAACGATTTATTCAAACGAGCATCAGAATTACCCTTGATTCTAATCTCATTGCCAGATGAGTCCATGATGGAGCGACTCTCTGCAATTTCGTGAGCTGGAATTAACAAGGTAGCCAGGTTTATATATTTATCTTCTAATATGTTTTTTCTTACTGAAGGCGCCACAGCAACTATTTTTGGCAGATTGTGTGATGCCAACCCAAAACGTCCTCTTCTCATTCGAAAGGCCAGTTTCATGTCCATATATGGTTTGATGCACTGTTGGCGATTCACTGGCTGTAGGCTGGTCGTGCGATATGTTACAAGAGCAATTTACTCACGCCATGTTGTTTTCCTCGATGTTGTTTACAACACGTTGACTTGGGATATTTTCACTTAAATTAAGCACAGTTTGTCGTAAATCTGCAATTTCACGACAAAGACTGGCGTTGGCATCATTAACTGAATTGTCTGGCACTACTTTCGTACGTGGCTGTCCCCCTGGAACAGATTCAGTGCTTGTGGAGGGCACTTCTCTGGCTGGAATGTTGGGCATACGGCCTGACGCTATATTAATGCTTTGATTGAGCTCAAAAACTTGAAACAAACTCTTCCTGGTCATGTTCGTTGGCATCGTTATCCCGAGTTGCAAAAGCTTGTCACGCAGGGTAGACGCAGTCCAATTTGCAGGGTTGTCTGAATCAAGTCTCCGAGATCGCGTACTTGTAGGCGGCTGACTGCTTGTACCGTTATCAACTGCCTTCATAGGCGAACTTGCAGTCAAGACCGTGGATGCCTTACGTTTCCTGCCTTTGCTTCGAGTAGTTATGATGTTACGTTGCATGGTGAATTCACGTGGAAGAGTTTGTAGTGAAATATCAAAGAATAAAATACTTATTTAGGTAACCAGAACAGAGAAATTGACTTTGAAATGGCGCCAGGAAGAAAAAAACAATGAACTACGAAATCACGTGAACAAAAGTCACGTGAGAATCTGGCGAGATTTGTGTCATAAATACTGTTTAACATAATATATTAAACACACATTTATTGTACCAAATAATCAAAACATTTGAGTCTGTAGCAGATAACATTTTGTTTTGTGAACACTATACAACTGCACATAAAAAATTAAGGTATGTCACTGGACATTGAGTTTTATGCCTGCTTTGTTGACCTTAAAAAGGCATTTGACAGTGTTTGGCATGATGGGCTGTACCTAAAATTGTTGAAATATGGGATATCTGGTAAAATGTATAACGTTATCAAAAATAACTGAGGCAGGATTAACCCCAACATTTTCTATCACAAACAGGAGTAAAACATTGGGTGTGCCCTGAACCATAACTTGTTCAACTTATTTCTTAAAGACCTGCCTGATATATTTAATTCGAGCACATGTGATCCTCCTAAATTACAAAATACCTTGCAAAGCTGTCTTTTCTATGCAGATGACATTGTCATACTCTCAGAGACAAAGACTGGTCTTCAAAACTGCCTAGATAATCTGTCATTTCTGTAAACACAAAAAATGAAAATCACTATATTTAATAAATCAAATAAACTGTTGGATAATGATATTTTCCTTTTTGAAGACAGTGAAATCCGTACATTAAAAACATTCAACTATCTAGGTGTTGAAATTAGTGCTAATAGAATGAAAAATCTGGAAAAAAAAGCACTTAAAGCACTTTTCTCATTATAATAAATAGTTGAATATAACCATAACTTGATATTGCTAGCACATCACATTACTAGCAGAGCTCTCGAGTTCAAGCCAGAAGCATATGGGTCACTTAGAACAAAGAATTCTGGCTAGAGTACTCACGTTACCTTTTCCATGTTACCAACTGGATTACAAATTCTGTCAACAAAAACTCCATCTGCTCATTTCAACATGCTCTTGACTGTTATCAAAAAGGTCATACCAAGCAGGAATGTCAGCAAAGCAGAAATCCTTATACATGGGTGAACGAATCTGCTGACAATTATAACAATACAGTGTGCCGTAATTTCAATCAAGATCGCTGTGACACTCCATGCTGGTACAATCATCTCCACATTTATTTGTCTTGCCACTCTGCAAGCCACACTGCCACTAGCCACGACATCAAGCCAAAAAAACAGCTTTTTCGTGGCTACACACCACAACCCTTTCCTGCCAATGCTCATGCCAGCACACAGCATGGTCGCAAATCTACATCTAAGCACACCTCTTAAGCTTGATTCTTTTGCGCAAGAACTGCACCATCATCTCGACAAATCATTTGTAGCAGCCATTTTATTTTACATTTCTCATGGGGCCAACCTTGGATTTCAAGACAAGCACTACCCAAGTTTACATGCAACACAAGTCCACTCGCATCAACCCTTCTATCATCACAGAATCAATCCAAAATGAACTCAAACTTGGTCACACTATCGAACCATTTAAACATCCTCCCCTAAAACACTCAACCTACATCCCAAGAAAAGTGGGGAGTTTCACATTATCATGGATCTCTCTCAAGAAGTATGTATGGGTGTCTCAAAACAGCGTTTAAGACCGCAGTTGCGACTCGCCAAAATGGTAGCAAAGGTGCTCTGCGACCTGAGAAAAGGCATTTTGTGACTCTGCCGCAAAGCTCTTGTAGGACCATGCTGCTACCTAGTCGCAAAGCGCCGATGATTCTGTAGCCGTTTGCAGCCAAAACAAAGTCAGCTTGGATGTTCTAATGTCTGCAATAGGCCCCCAGAAATAAACTCACTAGGTTGCTGCGCTCACTGTAGGCCCCTCTTGCAACAACCACTTCCATACTCGCTCTAGGCTCCGAATTGGAGGACTCATAGCCCTGACCAGGCAGCAAACGTCCGTCTGAACTTTCCCACCAAGACTTTCCTCCCACTTCCAACACAAGCATACGGAGGAAGCTTATTGTAATCGAAGAAACGAAACGAAACTGGATAACACACATAATAAAATTAAACTGTATTCAGTGAATATGGGTTGTATATGCACAATATTTACAGAATATTTGCCGAAAATTAATAATTTAATATGGCTCGTTTCGCTAATTACAGATAATCAAAAATCTGTAATCTGCAAAACAAGGGTCTTACACGTACAATATTTACAACTGTCGGACAAAACTTTACCACCATATTCCCCTTTCAGT